TCATCCAACATTTTTTTCCCTACCGCTCGTTCAGGACGTCTCCTTTATTTTTATGAATTTATACCTCCGATCCTCACTTTTTGAAGTCTTTTGAATAACCAAACGTCTTGGCTGAACCACGAGTGATAAAAACTGATCAATGATCGAAAATGATCGTACTGATTAGTGAACAAATCACAAAGAACTATACGAACAGAAAGCTATTCTGTTCATCCTTTCGGTAACCTAGCACATCTCGCCAAAGATTTATTGAAACATAGAGCTTACTTATCTTTGATATAAGATATGCATTGCAATTGTAAGTATTAAAAATAAATTGTTATTCCTCAATCTATTTATCATTAGTTATTCAATACAGTTACAATATGTAATCTCCTATTCAGAAATAAATATATATAATCATTATTTGTTGTTATAAGGGGCTATGCAGTTCCCCGAGGAACTGTAGTCACTGCGACTTTGAAGATCTATTGTGACTCGCCGCCAGAGCTATAGTAACTTCTTTGGCCCGGTAGACTTCGAAAAGATTATAATCTTCCTGGCTTTTAGAGATTGTATATCTTCAGGGCTGGTAATATGTCGTTCCCGATGTATGTTTCGTTTGTGGATCAGTGGTCCACATTCACACAGGAGATGTTTTAGTGTTTCACGTTCCTGATTGCATTATCTGTAAATGTCAGTGTCACTTAGTTTCATGTTAAATAGGTGTCTGTTTAATGAACTTCAATAAGGGATTTAGCATGATTTAATCCCGGCTGTTTTTGCCAGTATTTTTTGAATCTCTTTACAGGTCATTCTTTAGAAATTGCATCACATGTTTTTGGGATACTACAAAATGGCTCTGGTCCTATTTGTAGTCCCTGTGCACCAGCCCTTGCTAATTCATCCGCTTTTTCATTGACGATGATGCCCGAGTGTCCTAATACCCATTTAAGAATAATTTTATTCTTTGTAAAATAAATGTATTATCTCACGATTATAAATAAATTAATTAACGTTCAATTACATTATTGGGCACCAAAATTTTGATCATCTATCCGCCATTTCATGCCAACTAGACCTGAAAATTAGTATTCAGGTTCAATCTCATTACTTGTGTAATCTCATTAATACGACCTACATCTATAATATTCAAAACCTATTTATTCGATTTATCTCATTATTATAATAAATACTTCAAAGTATCAAAAATTAGAAAGGCTTCTTTCAAAGCAGTCGATGAAAGATATTAAAATCTACCAAATCAACCCAATATTATAAAAAAATGTACTCGAAATTTTAATTTAGGTTAGCGTCACAGAGTACGAGACAATTAGGGTTCGTTGTAAATAAATCCCGCTGACTAATGGGACGCGTTGGGACTCGGCCGCTTGATATATGGGCCTCTGGGAGTTGTTGATTCTCTATTTTATAGTACATTTTATAGAAGTTATTAGCGTAATCATCAAATACAAAATATGTATATTTTCTTCATGAATATTTCTCTACATTTAAAAAAAATGTTTAATCTATAAGTTATCTGATGCCCAATTTCTATAAACCGCGATATCATTACGCATATTATCCTATTGTATGTATAAGTATATATATGTATATTTGTTAATCTGTCACGAAAAGTAACTATAAAATATATAGGGTCAATTACCTACAAGAACATAAGCTGATAATTATAAACATTACTCTTTTAGACGGCATAGTCAATGACGCCATATTTTTGTCATTTCATATTCTGTTCCAACCACAGTCTGAACCGCTTCCATTATGAAAATTGCCTCAAACATAAGCAGCCCGCTATTTATATTTATCTACCAAAATATTTCTTAATGGGCCCAAGAAAGTTCACCACAGTACACAGAATTCACTAAGAGATTTATACAAGATTTTTTATAATATTATATAGTACTAGTATAAATTTGTAAGACCTTTTTATCAATTTATGTTAAAAATACTTTAAAAAAAAACAGTCCTCGCTGTTCAGGGAAGTATTCTTCGGTTCGAGTCCAAACTGGTACCTACTTTTTGGAAATGCTAGAAGCACAATGGATAAGTTTTTTAAAGTATTTTATTAGATAAATATCAAGATATCATTTTAAAAGCAAGGTTACTGTTGAGTCATTATAATAGGTCACATTTGACACTTCAAAAGGAAGATAGAACGTAACGTTGTACGAAGTCGACGTATTAAAAAATAAATTAAAATGAAGAAACTGATAAAAAGATAGCATATTTAAAAAAAAGCATTGCTTTATAGCACAAAGTATTTTTTGAATTATTTTTATTACAAGTTTATATCATAGACTTTTAATTTACTACGTAACGTTACCAAAACAGTTACGTTCTTGTTCCTTATTTTGTTAAAAATAGTGTCGTGGCCAACTTAAGCGCCGATTTTCTCGTGTTTTATTCGTTTTAAGTTCAAATCGGTTACAATTACCATTATTAATATTATACGACTATAAGGTAGCTAAAGCCTTCATATTTTGGAGTATCGGGGAGAACGCAGGCACCACAACACCCAGACCCGAGACAATATAGAAAAAACGTTTTTCTATATTGAACCGACCGGGAATCGAACCCGGGACCTCAGAAATGGCGACAGCTTGAAACCGGCGTGCGAACCACTGGGCATTTGGCATTTGACATCTATCACTCAACTTTAAAGTGACCTTGTAATGCGCCCACATATTAATATGATTTTTTTCACAGTTACAAAATGGTACAATTTCTTTTTTTTTTTTAATCATTAAAATATAGGTATTTATTGTCATAATTTAAAAAAATTATCAATTTTACGTTTTACTTTGATTCATAAATCTCTATAAATGTCATTAATCAATTTAATTTCTAGATAAACTAAACATCTGATAAAGGCTTTCCAAACACAGAAAAGACAGAAAATGTAAATTTCGTAAAAATTGCTTTACCTTGACTCTACCACGAAAAAAGATGCTTGTTTTTCTTTACCTCTTATTATATTCGGCAGGACTAAGTTTCTTATTGATTTATTTTTGAATAATTTTGAGTCCATTTTTTTATCACGAGCTCATAGGAATCTGCCTAGTATTCCTAGATGATAATCCACACTAGGAATATAGAAAATAATTAAAGAAGATGTTATAAGATTATAGTTTTAGACATAGCTCAGATAAGTAGTTTTAATATTTTGTAAATATTCGGACATAATCATCAAGAAGTATAATAATATATCGTATAATAAATCGACTACTTTTGTAGAGCTCAAAATTGTCTAGTTTGATCACCTTACAAAACACATCTAAAGCGATCACAGCGCCAGATGCCGCGTGGACAGCAACGATAACAAATGTTCCGCTCTGTAACAGAGATAAACCAGCCGTTTGTTCCGGCTGAAGTTTGCCGTTGTGTATATTTTGTTTTAACGCCTCTCGGCGAAGGGTGACCCACTGAATATAAACCGCAAGCCATTTGCATGCGGAGTCTGTGAAGGTTTTCATTTAGGTTCGAATATAGTATGCGTGCTGTTTTCTAACAAATATCTATGTACATAATTTTTTTTAATTTAACAAAATAATAACGTTTTTGTATCGTTTATATGACATAAAAACTTAGATTTATATCAAAGTATTTTTTTTTTTACTTTTTAATTCGTTAATAAAAAAGATTTACTTTAGTTAACTTTAGTTTATTTATCATAACCTTCTTAGCAAACTCTTTTGAAATTATAAAAATGCCGAAAGATAATTGTCATATTGCATTCAAAATGAAATATTTTTTATCTTTCTTAGGTAACCATACATCATCATCATCAGCCCTTTTACGTCCCCAATGTAGGTATTTAGGGCTTCCTTATGGATGTTTAAGGAAGAAAACTAATCATACATTGTTGTCTAATTTAAACCCGAGGGCGAAATCTCAGCTGAATCGATTGAGGATAACTATTTGATATTAGGATAACTATTCAGTTAAAAGATTTGTCGAACATACATCATTATAAGTTGAATAAAAAAAGCTTTTAAAAAGTTGAAGAAATTTACAAAATTTCAATTAGTGATTCAAAATTAAAGATTGACGAATGTGTGAAATGACGTACATTATATTAATAGAATAATGCTCTATTGCCCAAAAAATAATTTAGATCATTATCTGCAAATAAGCTTTATATTCTTTGTCAGCTTAATAATCTTTGTGTTTATTACATTCGATTACGTTAAGAGCCGAATGGCTTATGAGCTACGAATAACGAATTGGTAATTTTGATTTCACAGCATTAACAAATGTTTTTTTCCTATATGACGTACTATATACATCCTTTCGAGTCGTAATCAAAATATTAAGAAACCGATATTAGATATCTTCAATTTTCATTAAACGAGCAGTGGGTAAATGTAAGAAATGAGTATTAAAACATAACCCTTCCTCTGTAGTCTGGTAAAAATTTTAGCCTATGTCACCCGCGTATAATATAAGGTAGCCGTTGGTATAATAATTTTTAAAATCAGTGTAGTTTTGAATCCTATTCGATGCAAACAAACAAACAATCAAATCTCCTCTTTTATAATTTTATATTTAAAACTAGCCGTTTTCCCGTGATTTCGCCTACGTAATTTATAGCCTTTGTTGCCAGCATATGATGTAGCTTCCCATAGATGCAAGAATTTTTATAATTGGTCCAGTAGTTTCGGGGACTATTCAATGCAAACAAACAAACAACAAAACCTCTTTATAGTGTATGTTAGTATATATTTTAATACATAGTTCTAACATTAAATCAAATATTAATTTCTCTTAATTTTTTTCACGATGATATATGATTTCCTTAATGCCTAAAACGCGATTAAACGTGGTAATATTATGTACCATTTATCATATTAAGCATCCTCACCCTTATCTACGCTGCTAAATATACATATAATTACAATCCGTCACGCTCCGTTTTCCAAAATTCTTACAAGAAGACCTTGAATATGATGCTTATTTCCTATATTTGTGATATAAAAACCTGCAGTAATGGATGCATAGGCATCATTCGGATCTTACCAAAAGATACACGAGATTCCTACAAAATGTTCGCTAAGGTAAGAAAGAATCGCTTAAATGTTATATCAAAAATATTTAAATGTCTTTGTACTCGTATTAATAAATTTCATATTTTGTTTTAGTTTGCAGTTGTCGCTTGCATGATCGGCTTAGCTCGATCGGGAGCATTGCAAAACTCTGCACTGAACCTTGGTTTAGCGGCTGGATACCCGGGCTATGCTCGGTCTTCCCCAGTCTACACTGGTTCTAACTCAGGCTACGCTGGGTCTTACCCAGGCTATGCAGGATCTTACCCAGGTTACGCCGGAGCTTATCCAGGTTACGCCGGAGCTTATCCAGGTTACGCCGGGATTTATCCAAGTAACGCTGGAGCTTATCCCAATAATGGAGCATATCCTGGTTTGGCTGGAGCATACGCAGGTGTAAATGGTGGCGTAGCCACGTCCTACGTGAACTTTCAAAAATATACTGCCCCACGACCATATAATCCTCTAGGATCTTACGGAGGACTAAATGGGTCACCTTATGGAGGGGCTGCTGGACTTAATGGCCTGTATGAAGGTCTCCGTGGTTCTCTTGGACCATATGCTGCAGGTGGATTACCTTATACTCGATATGGCGGTTACGGCTACGGAGGCTATGGCGCATATGGAAATAAGAATGTCTGGTGAATTGAAATCTAAAAAAAATTTATAGTTCGTCAATAAATGTCAAATATTATATAATCCTTGTAATCCATTAAAATAAAGCACATGTAAATGAATTTTTTATATTTATTTCATAAAACAGGATTTCCTTATTTTGAAATAAGTTAAAAGGCTTGCTATAAGGGTACACAATGTTTACTTATTGAAACAAACACTGTCATATCAACTATTGTAAATTAATCAAGTACTTCGGTTGTCTCTTCATAAATTATTTTCAGAGTTTCATTGTTTCGACCAACAATAAATCCATTTCCAGTTGCCAAACTTTTTAGGAACTTAGACCTTGTTTCGCTTAACATTTACGATTACAAATGTTTGAAGATATAACAACTAAAAGTAAAACAACAACTAAAGCAAAACATCAAGTATTTAAATAATTAAACGTTTGCTTTTTAGCCGGGACCGGGATTTATGTTTATAAAAAGAATAAAATAATTTCTCGTTAAACACAATTTAAAAGTGTATCAGAGTTCAAAAATAAGCTAAACTTTATTGTTATCTTAAACATTATAGGAGATATCAAATGCGTCGTTATGTTCCTGAAACATTTAATTTAAATTAGCACTTAATTGAAATTTTAATGTTACACCTCTTAATCGGGCAGAAATGAAGCAGGCATTACATTTCCCCCATTCCAATATAATTGTTTGAGCCACAATTGGTTAATGTTTTAATATGACGTATGCTTCAATCCCAGCCGCCTGATGCTCAACAAGGCTCGACGAACCGTCCACAGCGTCAACGTTAAATCCACGTAATGGGCTCTAAATTGCTTTGATCGTTTTTCCGGATGGCTAATGAATTTTCTCGCTCCAATAAGCCTCCCGAGTGAGCGACGAGGGACGCTTTATGTAACTAATATTAAGTCCTCAATTAAAATTGTTCTTGTAGAGGCTGGACGCTCTGGACAGTTTAAATATCAGCGAATTATGTGAAAAATACAGCTAGAATTGCCTTAGAATGTTGACAGCCTTATATCTTGAATAGTACAATATCTTGAATTATCTCAGAAGTTCTGAATTGCTCACATAAAGTATTTTTATGTTACCTACTTCAATAAGAGAGAGATAACTGAGACAAACGAGACAATATTATAAAGGGTTCTTGGTCGCGATTATGTTTAATATGTCGTTCGCAAGTAGTTGATAACAAATAAAATTGATATGAAATGTCACGCGGTACTCTTTCAAATATTTGACCTTTGCCCAAGTAGCAAAAAGATCGTATAAACAATCACTCTTATGACTTAAAATAATAAAAAAAAAACAAATAATTGTATAAAAGTAGCTTTTTTATAATTTATTGGTATAATTATATATGGTATATACGACATATTAAAGATCTTTCACTCAACCAACAGCTGAAATAGAAAAGTGTTATTGGCTTTACATACCTCTGTTACATACCTCTTTCTTTTCTGGGCCCACATATCAAAATATTGTAATATGAATATTATAACGCAGATATAGTCAAGCCTAGTAATAAATGTTACAGTTTATTATTATAACATCCACTCTAATTTATCCTATTGGATTTATCCATAGACAATTATTATGCTCGTTAATTTCTTGATTTTGAACAGTAAATTTTTTCTAACATACCGCACACCTAGATCTAAACTGAGACAACTCAAAAATTTGCGTGAGTTTTGACTTAGTACAATATTCAAATACTCGGTGATCATACGCATCTATCCAACCTAACAGATTCAATAAAGGTTCGGGGATGAGCCGCTAGATAACTTTAGCTTTCTTTTGTTGAATCAACAGTGGTCGCGCTTGGTCGCGCTCCTGCCACGTAAACAAATGTATTGTCAGAACTCCGCATTAGTATTTTGAGTTGTTAGTTTAGATCTAGGTGTGCGATACGTCAGTCAGTAATACGTCGTCAAACGCATGCTTGGTAAACGCTTCTTGGGTCTAAAGGATAAGCAAAACTCAATAATATATTGGTTAGCGTTATTGAGCTACGATTGTGGAGAACAAATAATTGTGAAAATTCCAGCCTTTGGATACATAATTAATACTTTAACTAACTTCACACGCTTCGTAAAACTGTTGGTTACACGATATCCATGACAACATGGCTGTACGCCATGATATAAAATTGTGCTGCTGTTCGTGACTTCACCATATCGATCCAAGCGGAAGATCAGCGCTAGTCGCATATGCTGGGCTGGAACCGTTTTGGAACATCTTTTTCTGTTCGTATATCGATCTTAAGTCATAAGAGTGATTGTTTATACGATATTTTTGCTAGTTGGGCAGGTATTATTCATATTGCGCAGCCAAAATAATAGTTCCAACTGCTGGGGCTCAGGCCTTCCTATGGATGGACCCGAAATAAAATCGAATAAGGAGAATGGGCCATGACCCCCATGAAAGGGCCAGGTCTATGCCCTTTGCGGATTGGTGGGTATTAACGACTGCAGATACAGCTGGAACCAACGGCTTAACGTGCCTGCTGAAGCACGAAGTTCGGAATAGTAAATTTTTGGTCACCCAATATGACTGCCTATACCTTAATTGCTTAACAATCGTAGACAGACCGAGCGCGCTTACCTGACCGAGCTCCTTATATATATGAATAATAAGTATTTATTTAAGAGAAGTAATTAAAAGGTCAGCCATAAAAAAATCTGATTAGCCACAAAAATCAGTATTTTAATCGTTTGATCAGCATTTAAAGATTTTGTATGCAAGAAAAATAAAACAATCGGCAATCCTTGTTTCGCAAATAATCTTGATAATGATCAGTAATTTAATCATATACAGTCAGCTTAAAATAATATGTGTATGTCAAATAAACAGTCTATCCCCAAAATAACTACTTGGTCAGAAAGATTCAGGATTGGTCAGCAAGAAATATTTGTCCGGTTAGCAGTTCATTTGATCGGTTTGCGTATTTAAAGCATGGTTAGAAGAATAACTAATTGGTTTGCATTTTTATTGAAATGTCTGCAATGTACGTTAAAAGTGGGCGGAGCAAGAGCAGTCGCATAATACTAGGAGCCAATCGCGTGCGTGTATTTGTCATTTGGTCTCAAATTACAGTGATAACAACTTGTTTTATGTTAATTAGTGTGAATTTTGATATTTTGCGAGTGTTATATGCGTAGGGGAGACCTAGGAGAGTTGTGACAATTTTTACATAAGGGGCTCTATCTCGCTTAAGAAACATTCCACAGTTATGACTCATATGAATTAGTTTAGCGCCATTCCTTCTGTTTTCAAAACCATCACTAAAATTAATTAAAGTATAATAGTTTCTGAAAAAAATAACAAAATTCAAGTCCACTCCCCTTGTCACAACTCTCCTACCACCGAGGTAAGTTGTGACATCATTGTATTTAAGCTATAAGATATAAAAATACCATTCCATACGACATAAATAAATCAAGCACGTTTTTTTATCAAATCAGTACTTTAATCAGTACTATAATAATAAATTTGACTTGGAAAACACACACTGAACATGTTGGCAAAAAGTTGTCCCAGTATTCTTGTGCACTGTACAAACTTAGTAAGATCGCGAATCAGTGCACGGTCCTTACAGCTTATCACGCGTACGTAGTTTCAACTGTTCGATACGGCATTATATTTTTGGGATATTCGACTGATTCTGTAACTGCCTTTAGAGCCCAGAAAAAATGTGTTAGGAGCATATGTCATTTACAGAGTACGGATACCTGTAGGCCATATTTTATTAAACTAAATATTATGACCCTGCCATCAATCTATATATTCGAAGTTAGTATTTTTGTCAAACAGAATCAACTACTATTTGAAAATAAGACGAGATTGCGTCATCAAGACAAATTGTGTACGAAATCCTCTAAGACAGCTCTGTTGAACAAAAGTATCTTTTGTATGGCTCCAAAAATTTGGTGCGAAATTGACCAATTACAACGCGTGAAAGCAAACGGAACAAAAACGAGCTGTGCATTTTAAGCGTTGTCATTGGTCAATTTCGCACCGCTCCGCTCCGCCTCAATGGAAACGCAGTCTTATCATGTCCCCACCGAGGGGCTCGAGCCTACCCTGATCAGGGTGATTGGGCCATAGTCCACCACGCGGGCCCAGTGCGTATTGGCAGACATTAACGACTGCTACACTGTAGGTAGCAGCCGGGACCTACGGCTTAACGTGCCCTCCGAAGCTTATCATCTTACTTTTGGACAATCAGATGATTCAGGCCTGCAATGTCCTAACCAAACTAGGAAAAACTCGCAAAGAAATATTTGAGAGTGTCCCCACCGGGAATCGAACCCAGTACCTTCGGATCGAGAGCCTAACGCTCTAACCACTAGGACACGGCAGTTAATTTAATTAGTTAGTTTACTCTAAATACCCATTCATTATTTTTGTAAGGAATGCGCCCATTTTGCGCCAGTCATTATTGCTATTTTTATATGCTTCACAAAATTAGATTAGTTGCTTCCCTCTAAGTGCTGTTCAAAATTGTATTAAACATGCGTCACTCATTGCAGCTTATATGATTATTATGCTAATAAAAAATAATTACAGCCGTCCAGAATGTAAAAAATGTGTCGATTGATTTGATATTGTTTGCTAGCCATAGTCTGCTGACCAATTATATATTTCAACTGACAGAATACATTTTTCTGCTAGCAAAAATGTGAATACTATGCTAACCCGTTAAATAACACCCTTTATTTAATTCAGGCATCTGGCACAACCACGAGAACACGGTGGCGTTGAGCGCATGCGTGGGTGTAGGTCGGGGCCGATAGTACATCGGAGCGCGAGCGCACCGCCCGCCCCGCCCCACGCACCGTCCCGCCACCATGGTGCGCGACAAGAAACTACCGCAGAAGCAGGACTCGCAAAAATGTAAGTAAATAGTATAGCAGACAGCACTTTTCAATCCGTGTACATTAAATTTAAGGTAAAGGCACGTACGCACTGGCCGACAACACACAACAGCAGCCCTGCTGTTTTTCTGTAAAAATTCCTACCCGAATTCGAATTCACTTCGATTATTTTTGAACTGAATTCGGATACCTGAGTGAATTCGAATTCGAGTTTGGATTT